ATCATGTAAATAAAAGATTTTTACTTGATACCCGCTGTGCATTTTTGTCTTTTTAAAAATGTCACATTTCCATTCTCTATGGATAAATATGACACATCGTTATCTAAGGTTTAGTGGTAACTTTAAAAAAGAAGTTCTTTTCTGCCTTTGTTACAATGGTATCTGAATAGGAGGATTTGGAATTCCTGCTGAAATGTGTCAAAAATTCTGTGTTTAGCTGATGCCAATGAACTAATCATCTTTTGTTATTAATACATGTATATTTGATAAAGGTATATTCAAATGCCAGTGTATAAAAGTGATTAAGTACCCGGTGTAATCCTAAATTAAATCTCATCATTCAGTTTGATACATTTTAAATTGCATAACAGGAAGCAAAAAAAAAGGAACAGCGTAAAAGGATAGAAGCTTTTCACTGGTGAGCATAGAGTAAAATAAGTAATGACAAATGTAGGCTTCTCATCTCTAAAAATTCCTAAATTTACATGTACATGTGCATTTGTATATGTAGAATTTTAAAGGCTATTTCCGGAATACTTTTTCCCCTAATTCATCAAGGCAGGTGGGCCATTTACACCTTTTTGAAAGAGGGCTGGTTGGTAAGGGTCAACAAGTCAATTTTTTTTTCAGAAATACATGCATTGACTAGATTTTACACGATATGTAAATGTTTTTAAAGTTAGGCAATTTTAATCTGCTTTATTATTACATGACGGTGTAAAAGGAAAAACATTTTGTGACGTATTTGTGAACTAAACAAATACGAAAATGGTTTCAAAACTTTGAACTCAGTTGACTTTTACTTAGAGTAAAAATATTTGTATTAAATGTTACATCGACCCCCCCCCCCCCTAAAAAAGTTGAAATGAAACTGGAACATGATGTTCCAAACTAAGAGGTAGGGCTGGGTATTGGCCCGAGATTTTTTATTGCGATATTTTAAACTGTGTTGCGATATGTATTGCAATGTTTTCAAGGTAATAAAAATGGCATTTTCGTACTATATTAACTTTAATTTACAAGCAGAATGTACATAACTATGATAAGTAACCAACACGTAAAAAAATCTTGTTGATTTCAGTTAGGTTATGCTCTGAAATGTTCCCACAAAACAACTTCTGACTTACTGTTTGGATTAACAACAAACTTTCATAAGTCCGTTTTTATTTTTAATGACAAAAATTCCTAAATCTAAGCATATTGCCAATATATCGATATTACAAAATCGTATTGCGATACGATATTTTTTTGTCATTGTATTGCAATATATTGAAATTTCGATATTATTGCCCAGCCCTACTAAGAGGCAAGCAGAAAAATCAAACAAAAACGCTACCATGAAGTATCATTCGCGTGATTTGGAGTGGAAACAAAATTAAGGAATACAGAAATGAAATTGAAATTGACGCGGTATTAAAGAAAGGTAATTTTAATTTTAATTCCAGCAAGAAAATAGCTTTTGGTGTCCAACTGTAATCCCTGTTTCTAATTTCGGTCTACTTGTAGATGACATATTGCTATAAAGTCATTAACTTATTTCATCCAAGTGTTAAAAGATTTAGGAAGAGAAATTTACGTTGCTAATATTGACACGATATAATGTAATGTGCCCATAGGTAATTACAGGAGAAATTAACATTGCCTCCACAGTGGCCGTTTTTAAATATTTGTGAAATGGCTTTGATTACTTTTGCTTATTTTCAAACGTTTAGACACGCTCCGGTTGCTGTTCATTTGTTCTGAATTGTTTAAAAGTCGTTTACCAAAAAGGCAAAATTTTAGATAATACATAGACAAGATCTCTTAGAACGTAATTTAAGGCATGCTGATTTTATTTTTTACGTAAGGCACATTGAAGTAGGACTGTCAGCTTGAAATTATATCATTCTGGCGAGTCGATAGATACTTCTTTGGTTCTAGAATGCCAGGCAATTTTAATAATTAGAGGAAAGTTAAACATAGTGAAAGCATCAATATTCGGGGGGAAAACCTTTTGCCTCGCCAAAGGTAAGCATAAGATAGTCACGACTAGATGTAGATCCTTTTTACTTATGTTTTTACTAATTAAAACATGACATAAGCCCCCCCCCCCTTTTTTTGCGATTCTATGTACCGGGTATATTATACAATATTGGGGCTGGAAAATAATTGAATGGAATATTTGTAAAATTATTATTAATTTTCATGCATTGAATGGAAACTACGAATTAAAATACATAACATCTTGTACAACTTTTTATAGTAAAAAAAAAAAAATTATGTATCCATCTCCAACTTCTCTCTCTCTCCATTTTCCTCAGTTTTCTTGCTTTTGATTCTTTAAAGTTCATTCTTTTCTTAAAAAAAAAAAATGACAAATTAATTTTGGATCATACGTTTTCAGACAAAGAATATTTTTTTAATTCATTGTCTGTGAAAAATCCCTAGCAGTTTGGTTTTCTGTCATAATTTTCAATGCCTTGTTTCTCAACTGTATCATCACTACCTCATATTTTTTCTGCTTATTATTATAAATAAATATACAAATATAAACAAAGGATTTGAAGCTCGACATTTTTCACTCAATTTGATTTCTCCGTACCACTTCGCTCCTTTCCCTGGCACGAAGGATTCCTATTTAAACTTTTCAACTGCATGTATCAATGGATAATTAAATTAACTAAGTCTTAATAATAATTATTACAATGCCTAAAATGAATACATACAGGACTTTCCAACCCAACCAAACCTGGACATTGTAAGTTTACAGTAGTTTCTAAGTAGAAAAAAAAACTCATATGTTAATATGTACATATATTTGGTAATCAAACACTTTACACGAGTACATGTTATCTTAATAAACACAATGTATGTACATGTATTTTTTTTCTTCATAGTCTATTAGTTTATATATACTCATCTGCATGTGCTTTGCTTGACGTCAGAATTATTGTACATTAACTTTCAAGTGCTTTGCAGTTCAATATTTTCTCTTCCCAAAAAACAACGGTTTGAACATCAAGGGGGCGTCGGGGACACTTAAAAGAATTGATATTTGTCTAAGCTATAAAGATTTTTAAAAGGTCGTAAATCACACCGGACGACCAAATATGTTAACAGTTACATGATCAAAATGAAAAGTGCCCTTTTTCTGAAAGCATAAAAGTACGATAAAAAATCCCTTCAAACCGATATCATCAGATACATATTCAGTGTTTAAAGATTTAAATTTTCTTATATGAATTGTCATGGGAAAGAATTTTGTTGCAAAATACCGTTTGAGCATAAATTGGGCGTGGAAACTTTCGAGAAAAAGAGTCCATTTGTTCTCCCTTATCAAATGTCAAAATCCCGTGTCGCATATAATGTCCTTCAGTGTTGCAATATTTTAATCAATTCATTTATCCTACAACTTAGACATTTATTGTCAAATCCCCACTGGAGGTGTTCAATTAGAGATCCATTGTGATATTTTGATGCATTTTTGGCCGATTTAAAAGGAGTAAAAGTAATCAAAATTTGTTTATAATCCCCTTTGTTCTGGCTTATTTCTAAAGAAACGCATTAGGGTATAATATCGACCACGTTCGCTCATAGCATTAAACAAACAAGTTAATATAACTTGGCTTTCCTGTATTTCATTTCATTTGATGACTTTTCGCTATCAATTCTATTTGCAAGAATAAGCTGAAAGAAGAATAATATTGTCACTGGTAACAATTTCCCTCTTTCTCTCTGAAACAAAGGGTTTAAAGTTTAAAGCACTGCAAAAATCTGCGGTGTCACCCTCTACTTTATGGAAACCTCTTACTATTGATGCGGAATACTACTTAAAGAACTCGAGGAGATTCCAAGAAAATAATAACCAAAGTTTGTTTCCATTCTCTTTCTCACACCAAAAACAAGACATTGAAAGAACGTGTTGAAAATTAGGGTTATCTGAAGTCAAGCGAGGGACCTAAATTCAAAAGTCATCTCACTACCGAATACCTCGTAATGGATTTCTAGTGTATAATGGAGAAGTGATTCCATGCTTCCGTCGTCTCCTGGTTATTGATAATACTAATTTTGGAGGAATATTTTTTCCCAGACAAATAAATTCAAAGGTGCTAGTATATACTTTATTTTTTCATATGTCATTAATACACGTATTTCTTTTATTAAAACAATTTCTATGTTAATCCTTGGCCTGTAAGAACCCTGGGTGGGGGTGGGGTGTATTTTGGCATTTCTAAGCTCATGAAAAACTTGGATGTTTAAAAAATCAACGAATATTCAATATTTTAGAGTTTACACGTGTTTCATTATTGTGTATGCCTAAACAGAATATGTTTTTCATTATATTGTTTGATATGAATAAAAACCTTTGATCGAACCCCAATACTTCTACCGAAGCTGCTTGGAATTAGTAAGGAAATTAGCTTAACTGAATCGATACGCTGCTGAATGAACGCTTAATTGTGTTTTAGGATAAATTGCTCATTAAAATCAATAAGAAATTATGTGTTATAAAGATAAGGACAAGGTAAAAGATTTTTGCATTATTGATGACCATAAAACAGTACAAACTTTTAGATCATACAGTGTACAATATTAATGTTGTTTATCGGAAATAAAGATCTCTGGTACAACGAATTTTAATGTTTTCTTCCATTTTTCCCAATACCATCTTCGTTAAAACCCTTAGACAATCCAACAGGTAAGATTATATATTACCTTTGGCGTACATGAAAAAAAGCAACGGAAACTTTTCCTTTAAAACTTTAAAATTTATGAGATTTAAAATTCAGAACAAAAAAACAAATACTTGTTTACACGATATTTTACTTTCTCCCAGAGCAGCTCTGATACGTTGCATGGTTATTACATATTGCTGGTGTTACTATATCGCCTGTGTATTTATGCTAAAGTTTGCACCTATTTTTCTCTCGTGACCCCTACCCCCACTCGCCAGTATCCCAACACTGGTGAATTCCAGCAGGATTTATACAAATATATAGATCTTCACATTTTTTTTTCAGGTTGGAGCTGTTCGTTTGCTGTTCATTGATTTAAAGATTACCTCTCATTTGGGTATAAATGATGGATTCTAAACAAATAGAGGATTATTAAACCACTTGTTTGCTCATGTACAACAGTGTCGCAGACAAGTGTTCAGACAGTAAAAGAAAAAAGTGTTCATTTTCAAGTGACAGTTGTGAAAAATTTCAAAATTTATCGACAAGCGTTTGAGGGGAAATGAAACTCATGTGATATGATTGGTTCCTGATAACACAAGCCTATAATCCGTATAATGATCTAAAGGATGTACAGGATTACTTGGGTTTATTCAGATTATGTGACAAATGCCAGTGTCAAAGTTTCGTTGTATAGTCTTTCAAAAAGACCAAACTATAGTTATCTCGCCGCAAACTCTGCCAAGAAAACGTCTTGAGAAACGAAAGCTTTACACCAACAACACTATTTCGGCCAGTCTTTAAATATGATTATGACCCAACCCAAGAGCTGCCTAAGGCGGAGTGAAACATCTCTTTCTCGGCACACCGACGATGTATCAATCTCTGTCTCCATCACACCAAGAGGGACTCCGCCATCATTCAGTCGAAGTGAAAGTTCTTTTGCGGTACTTAAACGTAGTCAAAACCCTTATTTGCGATTTCCAAAAGTGGAATCATCAATTGTCAACCGAGATGACAAGCTAAAGCTCTCCAGACTTGGACAACGAATTCAGAGGGATCCCCACCGTGCGATTTCGATCGACGAATCACCAATCATGCTTCTTCCTAAAGCCCGTGTTCGGGACGACTATGATATTCGAGCCAGTAAACGTGCTTTTAACGTTGTAGCTGATAATGAGACAGCTACTCTTCACTTGTCGAGCATACCATTTGTTCATGAGGAACCCAAATCCAGATCTACTTCTCGGTCTTCCATGAAAAGCCGAAAGAGTGTTCGAAGTGACGATGATAGCGGCTTTGGGTCTTCCTTCCGGAGGTGCGTAACGTTCTCAGAGCTCAGTCTCAGTCGGTCAACCATAGCGAGGTCACTAGATGAACTCGAGGAATCTTCTGACATAGAAGACCATAACAACAACAGTGTAAAGGAAAACGAAATGTTAGATTCTGTGTTTGGTCCTCTACCGGAAGCTGAGGATGATGAAGGGCATCTTGATTCCTTCGCAGACATTATTCCAGATCCTCCTAAAATCAGGAAAAAACAGCAAGAAAGGCAAGAAAAACAAGAATGTACTTTAACTGAAGCAGACATCAAAAGATGCCACGAACAAGACTGTGAAATTTGCAAAGGATTTATGTCCGAACAGACTAGGATTCAGAGATACTTTGGTGGAGTTGACCAGTTTCTACAATGGCTGTACTCAAAATGGGGGAAGAAGGTAACATCTATGATTAAAACTAAATGTTTTGCCATAGCTGCAGATATGCACCCTAGTGGTCCGAAAAATTTGGATGGGCGACCAGAAATCGGGCTGACCATCCATTTTTATTTCCAGATCAATAACTACTGATCTTCACCTTAGTTCACCTAGAATATACCTTTATGTTTTATTTTCTAGCGTTATTTATTTTCTTGTTTTGAAAAGAAGATTTTATTTAAATATTAGTAAAACCTGAAATTGTTAGGTCAGTAGTCAAATCATGACAACTTCGCTGTCAAATTGTACAACAACTGACGTACAGGTGTCGCTGCAATAACTTTACTTAAATATGAAATTGACCTCGTAAAGTGGAAATTTCGTTTGAACATATGAATCATTTTTTTATATCGATAATTTGTTTTTATAACTTTTATATGACAAACAGTATCAATATTAAAGGCTTAACCATAGCAGTTAAATTGCCCTTTAACTTCAAGATCTACATCTAGATATTGATTCACTGGTTCGATTTTTCAATATTGCATACGAACTCAATTTGTAGTTATAAATTATGAGCGATTTTAAAATATTTTATTTTAAATAAGAACGTTTAAAATTGATTGAAATTTGGACTAAATAGCCTACTTCATTAAATCTGGTATCAATTAAGTAACAAACATTTCAGGTGTTGATATTAGAATTTCATCGATAATTACCATTTAGAAGTCTTTGATAGATCTAGAACAGTGACCACTAACACAGTTTAATCACGTGAGTGAGTACACCCCGTGAATGTCACTGGGTGTTAATCGTCTGCTTGTCATCAAAGCGCCATGAACAATGGAACTGGAGTTGAAAAAAAAAACTTTTAAAATGGGAACTTGAAAACTAGAGCTTTGATTTTATTTTATTTTTAGATTTACTTAATATGCTAATGTTTTAAAAGAACAAATAAAAGAGTTGTCTTTATCCAAATTTCGATGAGATTCCACGTGAAATCTGACACAATTAGTATACCCTATTTAATCAAGAAGACACTTCAAGGTAGTCTGTATGTGATTGTGAACGGATGCTGAACCGATCAGTTGATTCTATCAGGGGCCTCAGGCAAATGTACCCCCCCCCCCCCGAAAAAAAGATATGATAAATTCTACATGCCATTAAAAAAAGATTTTTTTTAAAGATTAATACTTTTGCTTCGTGATTTATATATGATTCAATGTCTATATAAAACAATATTTCTGTCTGTGAGCAATAATTGATGGTCTCCTCAAGAAAAAATTAGTTTGACGTCAAAGTCACCGCATTACGAATTTTTGCGCAACTTCTTATGTAAAACAGGTCGAGGAGGCTTTCTTATATGCTTTCTGATCATTCCCTTTAAAAGGAATATTGTCATAAATACTATGGGCATTTTTGGTGATGTGATGTTGCGCCATATCTAAGGGAACTATTACACAAATTTTGCTTAATATGACTATCTTTAATTGTCCTTCTGTGATATACTTTCATATGTATCGATTCATCAAAGCTTTATTGACCTACGTACTGACCATGTTATTTTCGAAAATGATATGCTTAATTAGAGTACCACCCGTAGTGTGTAAACTTTGTTCTTTTTTTTAATGTTCCATATAAGATTAACAACAAAGATACTTTTCAATCACTCATGTAGACGTTCGTATTTTCAAAGCTCGCGAAAATCAATGTTTGAAAAGGAAAAATTAAACACTTTAACCATAAAGGCTAAAACAACTTTCACCCTCTCAATGTATTAGTTTCTTGCACTATGTAGGATTTGATAAATTAGTTAATCAATTTAAGAGATTAATCGTCTTATTTACGAGATTTTACACAAAAATAAAGTGATTTGATAAACAATACAGTACGCCTTAATTAATATTTGTTGTGTCTGAAAATGGAAAATTTTAGTCTCTAACAGAGAGGTACTTTAAGCAAAGAAAGATACCGAGATCCAATAAAGAACTAGTGCTAATTGTAACGGGCACCGTAAACAAAAATATATTTTATGCATTTGATTTAATTTACCCAGAAGGGTACCAAGTTCATTCAAATTTAGCACTGCACGCGTGCGCATGTGAATGCATGTGCGCAATGACCATATCATCTTGTCTGCACAATCTATATACTTTAATATACTAAATATTAAAGTATTTAATCCAAAAGTATTAAAGAATACGCTCATTCAAGTGTATTTTTGATTTTACTCATTTCACGTGCACGCACGTGCATACATGAGCATGGTGACATACCTTCTTGTAGAAGTCCATTACATCTATCTATGTTCTAAATCCCACTCCGTTTGGTTGAAAACCAAGGGAGTTATAGCTGATTAAAGTTTCATCCAATCAGATTGCAGCGTACGTTCACGCACGTGTATTGATGTGCATGGTGATCATACCTTCTTGTAGAAGTCTATTATATCTATCTATGTTCCAAATCTCATCCTGTTTAATTGAAAACTAAGGGAGTTATAGTTATTTAAAGTTTCGGCCAATCAGATTGCAGCGCACGTACACGCACGTGTATGGTTGTGCATGGTGACCATACCTTCTTGTAGAAGTCTATTATATCTATCTATGTTCCAAATCACATCCTGTTTGGTTGAAAACCAAGGGAGAAATAGCTATTTAAAGTTTTAGCCAATCAGATTGCAGCGCACGTGCATTCACGTGTTTTCATGATAATTGTTATATATCATTTTGTAGGATATCCTAATGCATGGCTATGTTCAAAATTTCAAAGGATTTCATCAAAAAACAAGAAAGATATTGAGACTTTAGTTTCAGCCAATCAGAGCGAAGCGCACGTGCATGGGCGTGAGATCTTGCTATTTTGACCATGTCTTATTGTCTATGCTACTAATATATCCTTACATTATGAGTTTCAAAGCATTTCATCAAAAATGTAAAAAGTTACGCCGATATCAATTAAATCGTCATTTTTCATGTTGCACGTGCGCGCTCTTGCAAGCACGTGCGCGCAAAATGACCTTTGTTCGGCAAATCTACATAACATGTCTACTGACCCTAAAAACATTTTACCTTACTCGGATGTGTAGTTTACAAGATCACTCGAGGACAAAATTTTCCCAGGAATAATAATAATAATAATAATAAGAAACAGAGTAAAAACAATATGTTCCCCAACTTCGTTTGGGGAACATAAAAATACAGTAAACAAAAATATATATTATTAATTTCAGTTATGTGTAAAGTTTTGCGTTACGTCACGATCTTTTTCGTCAGATGTCCAGCGTAAACAATTCACGTGATAGGTCAACTCATATTATCAACATTGACACAGAAATAGTCTGTTGCACGAGCAACTAATCGGGGATAAGAAGAAAGTTCCAGTCGTAAAGCTTGCGGTTATGAGGCGTGTATAATTTTACCTTGAGCGCAACTGTCAACTAGATCATGACGTAACGTAAAACTTCACACTTAACTGCAAACTATAATATAACGAGGAAAAAAGAAAGAAAAAAGGTGCTTTAAACTAAAAAAAAAAATGGAGTAAAGTCAGAAAGGTACCGTATAAAACCAAAACGTAAATCAGTCATGCCTTCCCACAATTTTTTTTAATTGAAATTAAAATTATGACATCAATTGTGAGAAGACAGTCAAAGAGTGTTGTAAACTAAAAACTACTGAAGAGTAAAGTCAGAAAGGTACGGTAAACTTAAAGGTAAGGTATCGTTAACTAAGATGTAAGGGGTAAAGTCAGCAAGGCATCGTAAACTAAGTAAGGGGGTAAATTCAGAAAGGTGTCGTAAACTGAAATGTAAAGGCAGGAAGACAGTATCGTAATCTACAAAGAAAAGAAGTAAAGTCAGAAATTAAGGTGTTATAATCTAAAAAGTAAGGGAGTAATTAAATCAGGTGCCATAAACTAAAGGTTAAGGGACAGAAGTCAGAAACTTTTTTAAGGTATTTCAGATCTGACAGAAAAGTACTGAAAAGCAAAAATCGTCTAATTGAAATCAGAAAGTTTCCAAGATCCAAAACCAGAAAGGTATGTAGACCACAAAGTAAAGGAGTGACGTCAGATAGGAAATTACCGTAAAAATAAAACAAAGGAGTGACGTCAGAAAGATATCAAAAGCAAAATATAAAGACAGTGAAGGTAAGGTAGTATCCCCCCCCCCCCCTCCTTAGGATTGGAGAATGAAAGGTACCGTTACCTAAAATTTAAGCAAAGAAGTGATATCAGAAAAGATGTAGACAAATCTCAATTATTTGCAGGGTCTGTTATGATCTAATCGCAGGGTGATCGAGATCTTTCGCGGACGATTATTCAAATTTTACATTTTTTTTTAAATATCCAAATAGAGTGATTTTGTTATTTTTGAAAATAACCAGGTGAGAGTAAATGCATTAAAATATGTTCAGAAAAGACAGAAAGCAACAAGTAAAAGATTGAGTCGGGCGCAAACTTGCAATACTAATATTACAACTCTCACATTTATGACTTTATTATTTTTGACCAATATAGAATTGTTTCCATGGAAACAGTAATCAATCTTACATAAAATGATTAGTTATCCTGGGTTTTTATATGATATATATAGTTTTGTGCGGGTATAACGGTGTATTTGAGAAGAAAAACATCTCAGAAGAAAGGGCACAAGGTGCCAGACCATTCGCCAACCTTAAATCGATACGATTTCTGTCAATTTTATCAATATAAGGGCAATTTATTGCTTTAATTTAACTTTTACTTTTATCTGTATAATCTGGATTCCAGGAAGTAATATTGAGGTATGATGCAAAAACTCAGTCCTGGTTCGATAACTTCTAGTTGTTGAAGTATTTGATCCTATACTGAAATTCTTTACCATGGATTTTTCTTTACCATTACCCAAGTTGTGTATCAAAGATTGAGTTATGTATCGAAGAAGCTTTACATATTTATGTATAGTTTAAATAACAACTCATGTAAAAAAAAATATACATATCATTAATTTGAACCTAAAGAAATTTGTATGTTGGAATAAC